GAGACATTTAGGGATCGAGACCAAGTCAAGACCAAGACCATAAATATCACTTTTAAAATCATCATGTGTGCGGGGCGTGTCACTCACCACTCATCAGTAACACCAGGAAGGTTGCGGTGGTAACCAAGAGATAAAAATCAAACTACAAATGAATTGAAGTCATTTGTTCTTTTAGAAAGGAGCATCGGAGGTGGTCTTGACTGGTCTTAATCTAAATCAGGAGCCGCCCAGTCTGAACAGAGACAAGACAGAGTAAAATACTTTCAAGACGAGACCTTAAACAGTGGTCTCGAGACCGGTCTTGATTTCGATTACTACAACACTAGTGTGTACATTTGAAAATAACCAATAATACTCTGTTCATTGCATTGGAAAGAAACTTAATTTTGAAGTAAGCAATTAAATTAAGGATTAACAATTGTACTGGAGGTTAAATATGAATGTTGGTATCATAGAGGCTGATAAAAGCTATGTATTCCTTCCTTTGGTTGAATTATAAGTCCACCGAAGAATATCCTACATTTGGCCCTCTGACAGTGAGAATTAAATATATGTGGCCCTTGCTGTGACCAAAGTTGCCCTTTCTGGTCTAGATCAACACCAATGGGTTACACCATCCAATCTGCATCCGATATCTGACTTCTTTGCCACACCTGTTTAAGCCACAACCACAACTTTATAAAAGCCTGCGCTCAGGTCTGTTACTTCTCTTCCATCCAAACCAAGCCTGACCTGCTATAGAGAACAACAAAAACCTCCATGTGAGTGTAAAATGGATCTTTCACCTTACTTCATTCTTATTTTGTTGATATATTATGAATTATTTCCAATAAACACATGTATTAATGATAGTTTAAAAAACAATTTTAGGAAACTTACTTGAAATTATTCTGATTGGTTTGACATTATTTATCAAGATCTGTAATATTTCCTATTTGTCATCAGCTAAAATCATTCACAACATCTACAAAGAGGATCAACTTTTGAAACAGCATCAGATCCTGTGTACAAACATGTGAACTCAGAGTTTGCGTTCCTTTGTCCTTACGTTATGTTGATTTTCTTTGTGTTGATTTGTGTTTTTTTGTGGTTTTGTACTGATTTGTGAATTTGTGAATATGTCAAAATCAGTAGCATAAAAAAGTACCAGATATTACAGTTTTAGTACATCATTGACTTTTAAAAAAATCAATAGTTATACAAACATGAGATTACAATTTGTCATTTAAGTTTGATCTGTGTTGCTGCACGGAGAATCAGTTTGACATCCTTCTTTCAGTTTAAAAGAAAACTTAAACCTCGGCAGAAATTAGATGATAAAAATTGATATTTATAAGCCCTATAAAGATACCTGACCTGGGAATAAAGTCATATCATCCTGAACAACTTTCTATGTCTGCAATCAGAAGTAATCTCACAAGAAAAAGTAGATTAAGATTAACTTTATTGATCCCTGCAAGGGGAAATTTCTGTTTTTACACTCTGTTAACCATGCAACACACACATGCACAAACAGGATCCTATGGACAAGCACTAATGGAGAGATGTCAGAGTGACGGAGCTGCCCACAGCGGGCACTCCTGAGCTGATGGTGGGGAGGGGGTTTGGTGCCTTGCTCAAGGGCACCTTGGCAGTGCTTAGGAGGTGATCTGGCACCTCTCCAGCTACCAGACCAACTTCCATATTTGGTCCACACTGGGACTTGAACTGGCAACCCTCTGGTTCCCAACCCAAGCCCCTACAGACTGAGCTACTGGCATTAATAGACACACATCTGCAATGTGCTCATTTCTGGATGTTACTGGAGGTCAATATATACATATTATAGTCTCATCTTTTATTTTTGGATAGAATGATGACAGACAGACAGACTTTACATGCTTCTGGATACATCATGAGGCTGAACATTTTTGTCATCATAGAATGAGAAAATCTTTTACAGTCTGAGGATTTCTTATGTTTCCTTTCTGAAAGTTATGACAAAAGCAACACAAAAAAGATCAGTACCTGTTAAAACTTTCTCCAGCAGAGCATTTATTTCATCAAATGGTCAGGGCACACTTTACCATAGAGAGTTGAGTAACATTGCCATCTTGTGGCCATTTGATATATTTGCAGTCCTCAAATAGAGTACACTATAAATCTCTGTCTAAAGAGCAGGTTAAACATGCAACATTCACGCTACCTCTAAATGTTTCTTCAGAAGTAACTTCTAATACTGATTTATTTCTAACATCCTGTCATTTCTTCACTTCTTTATACGTTTAGATTTGTTAATTTGACTTAAGAAATTCTGATGCACTTTCAGTTTTGTTTTCTGAAATGTTTGGTATATCAATAAAAGAAGAGGATCATGAGGGTGAAGACCAATAACATGGGTGTGGTGGAGATATAAATGTCAGATGTTTTAAAACCCTGAGCGTCATAAAAAAAAGCCTTTAAATTTAAATGACATTTACCACTTGTCAGATCAGCATCAGAAACATTAACTTGATGTAAATGCAACATCTTACAGCTTCAAAACATTAAAAACTATATAGATAGATTTTTCAAAGTTACAGGGAGCTGAGGAAACAAGTTAGTACAAAAAGAAGGACTTGGACGATTGGAGGAAATTTGGAGGTTGGTTTTCTAGTTATAGTCGATTAAATTCATGGTTGGCTTTTGGTAAGTTGTATCGTTATTTTAAACTGATGGTTTAATTTACCAATTTTGCCTTTTAGCTTGTGTAAAACTGAGGTTAGACTACTTAATAAATGACTGACTTCTTTCTCTTTTATCTAGTCGGGGCAAAATGGCAAGTCCGAGCAAAAAGGCAAAAAAGTAAGTATATCTTTGTTAAACCAGTTTACAATATCCCAACTTTATAAAGAAATCATTTTAAGTTGGAAGCTTCAGCACTTCTTCATACTGTTAATGCTTTTTTTTTTCTAAATTCTACAGTACGATCACCAAGGTAAAATACTTCACGTCTTACCACACATCACACCACATTTTTGCGGCTGGAGAGATAAGAGAGAATAAACAGAACAAACCTCCAAATTAACTTTGTCTAAATTAAAAATCTCTAGATGCTTATTATCCCACCAGTGGTGAGGACAGCTAGCTTTGTGCACCTTTACTATCCAAACCAACCCTCTTTGTTCTCCTTTCCTTAATCCTAAAAAAAAAGGAATAGGAACACGCTTTGTATTGAAAGGACATTTTCAGTGTCCAATGTTTTGTTCTCTTTGTTCTACTAGATGTTTAATATCCCAACCAGTGGTAAAGTCAAAAAAACGTTCTTTGTAGCATCAGCTTTATTCTTGGGCTCATTTCATGCTTATGCAATACTTCCCAGAGCCCTCAGACAAACTTGAGCTGGTCTTCATGGTGTATTGTTTTATGCATTTCATTGTTCTTAGCTTTTGTTTGTTTGTTTTCTGCAAGGTGTTTAATGATCCCATCCATGGTAGCATAGAGTTACACCCACTCCTCATCAAGATCATTGACACACCTCAGTTCCAGAGACTTCGATTCATAAAGCAGCTTGGAGGTGTCTACTTTGTTTACCCTGGAGCGTCTCACAACCGCTTTGAACACTCGATCGGGTAAGTCAGCAAGTTTTCAGATTTCAGCCCACAGGTGACCTCAGTCCAAATAAGGAGAAGACTCATGGTTTTCACATAAGCACCTTGTAAAACCAATAAAGGCAGAAAACAGTGCCTGTCTTAGTATGGATCGAAAAAAAAATATGAATAAAAATATATATAATAATTGTGATAACTGCGTTATAATTAAAAAAAAATGTTTTCTGTGGTCTAAAAAGGGTGGGATACTTAGCAGGAAAACTTGCTGAGGCTCTCAGGTCAAGGCAGCCGGATCTCGACATCACTGACAGAGACGTCCTTTGTGTTCAGATTGCTGGCCTCTGTCATGACCTGGGTGAGTAATGCATCCCTTTTCAATATTACATATAATAGTTTATAGATTATGTTATTGGGTATGAAAAGAGTAAAATGAAAGTGAAATTTTTCAGAAATAACCCTTCCATCTTCAAAAAAGCAAGGGCTTCTGCATTAATACATAAAAAATACGAGGGTGGGGTGAGGTGGTGGTAGCTCGGTCTGTAAAGGGACTCTGATAAGAACTGGAGGGTCTGAATATTTAAAAATAATATTTAGACTCAGAGAACTTTATTTAACCCAGAGGGCGTTTCGGTACCACAGTCCAACCAGACCATGCATACATTTACAAACACATAACAGTCTTTCTTGTAAGCAATATCATCAAGTTTAGATTCAGGAGTAATCCATCCTCAACTCAAACAGGTTTATTAAGACATACTGACTGTATAATCTGTACACTATCAGTGGATTACGCCTGTATTTATCTATCCATTTCAAGGTCATGGACCCTTTTCCCATCTGTATGATGGAATGTTCCTCCCCAAAGCACTGAAAAAGAAGGGAAAAGAAATGAGAAGAAATGAGGAGAAATTGGGAGAAGAGGAAAAATTGGAGGAATGGAAGGTAAGAAGTTCATATTTCTGTTCTAATATAACAAATGAAATACAGAGGAACTGCAAAACTGAAGCACATGTACCTTTCACACTGGCTTGTTCTTTTGAAACAAAATCCAGGATGTTCTTTTTTGTTTGCTTTCTCAGGTGTAATGGGATTATGGACATTTAATAACAATGAACTTTGTAGCTTGTGTTGCTAAATGACCCTCATTATTCTCTTTGGTAATAATATGTCAACTTTTTATCTGACATGTTACCGCTTTTCAGAAGCTCCATGAGATTTTACTAATGTTTCTGTTTTAACCATTAATCCTGGTGATTCAGAGATTTAGATACAACAAACAAAGATAATAATTGAATTCATGGTTCATGAGAGGTAATTCTTTATGACAGGGACCTCTTTTAAAAGCAGAAGGGATTTCTAGATCTGTTTATGTCTCTTTGTCACTCAATAAGAGAAGATAACCTTTATTCATCCTACAACGGGCAGCAAAGAGCAAGGATAGCCAAAAAAAGAGTACACAGTGCACCATTCAATAACTTTAGATCAAAAGACTGCGATTGTTGTGTTTACATCCAAACAAACCGCTCTAAAGGGGAAACGCCCCTTTGTTTCAGAACAACTTTTCTAAACAACCCAGGTGTGAAAAAACGCTTGGTGAGAAAACTGAGCTGCATTATCACCTTCCCAAAAACTCTTATGCTTAACAGTTTGACATCGGGTTGAGTTCAGCTAGCTAAATAACCCTGATAAAGACTGTTAGGATGTTGTATACAGTATATTGGCTGACATTAAGTGGCTCGTCAAATTCTGAACAGCTTTAGGAACTCTGACATTGTAAATTGTTGTACATACGTTTTGAGATATACTCTTCAAATGTGGGGGAAATTAAAGTATGTGGGATTATTGTATTTATGTTTTAAATCTTGTGTTGACACATTTATGAGTCTGTGTGTCTCGCAGCATGAAAAGGGCTCTTGTGACATGCTAGACCACCTGCTGAAAGAGAATAATCTTAAACCAGTGATGGAGGAGTATGGACTGAAACCTAAAGATGTGACATTCATTAAGGAGATGATTGCTGGACCTCTACAGGAATCTAAAAGCAAGAAGGCAAGTTCACCTCATTATGTTATTCAGAAGTCGGATAAGATACTGTATGAATATAAGATAAGAGAAGATAAAACTTTATTCATCCCACAACGGGCAGCAAAGAGCAAGGATAGCCAAAAAGAGCACATACTGCACCATTCAATAAAAAAATAGATCAAAAAAGTTGAGGAGCCAAAATAGTGTGATTGCTGTGTTCACATATGTCTGAACAAACCGGGCTATGGTTTCAGAACAACTTTTCCAAACAACCCAGGTGTGAAAAAACATTTGGAGGGAAAACTGAGCTGCATGATCACCTTCCCAAAAACTCTTGTGCTTAACAGTTTGACTCTGTGTTGAGTTCAGCTAGCTAAATAACCCTGATAAAGACTGTTAGGATGTTGTATACAGTATATGTCCACAGAAAATTGGCTGACATTAAGTCACTCAACAAATTCTGAGGAATTACTAAATGGAAATATTGTTAATATGTAAAAGCAATAAAGGAAGTAAAAAAAAAGAAAGAAAAGGCAAGTTCACCCCATCTGTGCATAAATCAGTCTGTGTCCTACACTAATGTCACTATTTTGTAACATCTCCTCAGTATAAAGGCGGACAAGAAGAGTCCTTTTTTTATCGTGAAAAAAAGTTTTTCTTCTGCCTAGACCTCCAATTGAAATTGGACCTGCTGTTTAATTTGTCATGCTTTTCCATGTACATAGTTTATTGTGTTCATATTTTAGCTTTATCTCTGTTTTGTGGAATGGTCCTACATATGTTTCTATGCAGTGTAAATTCATTGACAACAACATACGTGTCAATAAAACTGGTCCTGATTCGCTTTGTGTCGTCATCCCTGCAGTGGCCGTACGAAGGGCGCAAAGAAAAAAAGTCCTTCCTCTACGAAATTGTGTCCAACAAAAAAAACGGCGTTGATGTGGACAAGTTTGACTACTTGGCCAGGTCAGGTTTTAATGAAGTGCTGTAGAGCAATTCATTTTGTATCATCATGTATTTTGTGTTTTACCTTGAACAATGCATTATTCTCCTGATTATTTTAAATTATAGGCTACAAAACTCTCCAGTAGATTCAGTTTCACTTTATACACCTATTTTCTTCACCTTGCCTCAATCTGCCTCTACGCAGGGACTCTTCCTACCTGGGGATCATGAACAACTTTGACTTTCGTCGCTTCCTGCAGTTTGCCAGAGTGTGTGAGGTTGATGGCAGGAAAACTATCTGCACCAGAGACAAGGTGCTGACACACTTGAGCTTGTAAACAGATAATTGAAAGCAAACTGATAATGTTGTTATTTATGACTAAACTGCAGTCCTAACCTCAACAGGAGGAAGACCATATGTACCACTTGTTCTATACAAGACACCGTCTCCACAAAAGAGCCTGTCAGCACAGAGTAAGCCACATCATACAAGAAATGTAAGTGTCTACCTTCAGAAGTTAGTACTCCAAATATAAGATTGGTCTCCTTCTGATTTCCATTATTTGATCTGCGTCATGATTCACTAGCTCATCAGTAATAATATGTTTGATATGAACATACAGGATTGCAGAGGCTTTTTTGAAAGCAGACAGTCACATTCAGATTGAAGGATCAGGAGGGAGGATGTTCACTCTCTCTACAGCCAATGAGGACATGGAGGCCTACACAAAGCTCACAGGTGTGTAGATTTAAATGTGTGCTGTTAGCTCATGTTTAACATTGAAGCCAATTCAGACTACAGGAGTATCAAGACATTGTTTAAATAATGCACTACACCCAACAATCTGAGGAAAGGAAATTGTGTGTAGGCACTTGGTCGGTTTTGATGTTTGGCCAAGGACAAGGTTATCTGGTAGTTTGAGGAGTTCACAAATCCAGTCTCAAACATCCTGAACAACTGGCTGTCCTGATCATTTGAACTTGTTTGATATTTAGGATGTTTATTTATGAAGTAACAGTGACATATTTCAACACTTTTTGGAAACACACTTTGTTAGATGCTGCTTTCTGTCAGATGGCTCTGTTGCTAGGTCATTTACAGTTATGCTACTTTATCCATTTTTTTTATCGTGCATTTGTTAAAGATAAATAAACCACATCCTGTTAATTTACTTGTGATGACTTATAAATTAACATGCCATGTCTTACAATTTATTGAGTGTGTTTGAATTAAATTCACTCACTTTTGTGTGTGTTATTATCATTTGTTTGCTTGTTACTCTGTTACTCTTTTAGACAAAGTGTTTGAGGAAATACTCAACTCTTCCGACCCGAACCTACAAGAGTCGAGGCAGATTCTGCAAAACATCATCTCTCGAAAGATCTACAAGTTTGTTGGTGAGACAACGCCAAAGAACCCCATCCCGGATTGGAAAGTAAGTCTGTGTTCTTGTGTTTCATTACATTTATAACACATGATCTAATGCACTGTTATCACAAAGCTGAATAATGTGCTCATTTTCAGTTAATAGAATAAGTACACATCACATTATTTACTGTCTCCAGCATTTTATCTTGCCCATGTTGTTATTACATTTAACATGAACAGCAACACTATTGAACAGTTCTCTTTTTGAAATGTAATGTGAATTGGATAGCAGCTTGAAATGTCTACAATACAAATACAAATACAATACAAAATCCCTCAGTCAACTAATGCTGCATGATATTGGGGAAACTGCGATAACCTTTGAGGTTCATACAATTACAATTTGTATTATCATTTGGGCCTTCAATTCTATTTTCTTTTTCAAATAAGAACCCCTTATATGTTCAAAGTGACTTTTAATTTGCATCAAGAGCCCTGTGACAGTAAAGAACAGTTCATCGTCACACACTGCATGTGATCCCTTCAACTCTACATCTTATGTGCACATAGACTCTGCCTGCACAGAAGTCACTTCTCTTTGTGATCAGGAAGAGGATCAGACAGACTGATATTGTAGATCAGTCATGGAAAGAGAGAAACTGAAGGCTTTTTGTTTTTTCAAAAGCAAAAAGAACAAAAAATGGCAGTATGATGCATTTCAGGACATATGATTGATATTATATATTCTGTGATGTTATCATAGCACTTGTACACATAGCAAAAATTATGCTTAAATCCTACCATGCAGCCCTAGTTGCTTACATTGTCAACTTAAAATGCAAAAAACCTTTTTCTATCCTTTCGCACTGTTCTCAACGTTTCTGCTCCATTTTCAAGAGCCTGAAGCCTAGCTGGAAAGAAGGATTGGCTCAACCCTTACCTGAGGGAGGAAGAAAACTGACACGAAAGGACTTTAAAATCCTGGTCAGTTTTTTGACTTTCTTTCATTTCACCTTTTTGTAAACTCTTCAGTTTTGCGGATTTTTTGATTTGTAAGATGTTGCAAAATCTGTTATTACACACATACTTTTACTCTCAACCTTCATTTTAGGTCATTGAAAGGGACTATGGCATGGACGATAAAGACCCTATCCAACATGTTCATTTCTACAGCAAATCTGACCTTAACAAGGCAAAGGCAATGCCCAAAGAAAAGGTAAGAACTAAATATTGATTAAAACATTTTTTTATCGCAATATTTCTGTTTATTGGGTTAAATTATTTGTAAGGCAGCTTATGTCACCAAAACTCTCAAAGTAAAGCTGTCTCAACCTTCATTTTAGGTCATTGAAAGGGACTATGGCATGGACGATAAAGACCCTATCCAACATGTTCATTTCTACAGCAAATCTGACCTTAACAAGGCAAAGGCAATGCCCAAAGAAAAGGTAAGAACTAAATATTGATTAAAACATTTTTTTATCGCAATATTTCTGTTTATTGGGTTAAATTATTTGTAAGGCAGCTTATGTCACCAAAACTCTCAAAGTAAAGCTGCTGTCCTTCTTTACAGGAATCCAGGATTGGCACAAAGATCTTTTCTGAGCAGCTGATCAGGGTCTTCTGTAAGAAGATTGATGACGAGAGTGTGGAGGCTGCCAAAAAGCACTTTAAACAGTGGTACTATGATTTTCTAATCCTTTGATAATAGTTGAATCTTAAGATGTTAAAGGATACAGTACATATCGACTAACTTGCTGTTGATTGAACATAAAACATCAAATATAAATTCAGACCAGTTGACTTGGCTAAAGTAAATAGAAAACAGTCAACACTGAGTGCAGTTTATTTAACATGGTTGAACATGTGATCTACAGTCTCAAACAGATTTTTTTCGAATGGGTGTGTATGTGGCTTCCAGTGTTTCTCCAGCCAGCTTCAGGTGGGGTCTCCCCAAGAAAATGTTAAGCACCAAACATTTATTTTTCTGCATTCTCATCATGCACCAATTTTCGCCTTTTCTGCAAAACGTTATGCTCATGATCTCGTCTTTTTTTTACTTTTTTCTTGTATTTTTCAAATCTCTTTCAGTGTTCATCAGACACATGTTGACACAATGATGAATGCATTCAAATACTTTTATAAACATGTGGACTGGAGAGCTGTAGTGTTTCTGCATTATCTAGCCCTGCAGAATTTATAAAGCTGTAACTTCAAACTAGTAACCTATGCATGGCTGATAGGGATGTAACGATTCACTCAAATCATGATACGATTCGCGATACTGGGTTCACGATACGATTCTCTCACGATTTATTGTACAGAATGAGACTGTAGAAAAAGTATGAGCTGACTGAAAAAGATTCCTTTATTTTTTTTCATGAAAACACCATTAATCTTCACATCCCTAATAGCTGACATATAATTTAGTATGACATTAATTTGTTTTGTTTAAGCACTTATGAGGGTGGGTTCTGGGTTCCTGATTTTGTCTCGTTTAAAGAAATGGAATAAAGATGTGCGCACGAGAGAGAGAGAGAGAGAGAGAGAGAGAGAGAGAGAGAGTAAAAGCAGATATGCCTTGCTGATGGAAATAATTGATGGACCTCAGCCCCTTGTTTTGTCTCGCAGAATTTATGAAACCTTGCCAACAGTTTGCTAGTCCGTAGCCACGCTTTACAAGTCCATTGTACTGATTAGCAGACAGCATTTTTTTTTTTTTAACTGAGCCTTCATGGGCTCTGTGCAACACAACAAAACTCACTCTTAAAAAAGTTGATCTAGCATCTCAGTTATTACAACAGGTGAGCATGATGTGAAGGCCTGTTATCAAGATTCAGCAAAACCAAGAGAGAGCATCATCACATCGGCAGCAAGCAGCTTCACAAACATAATAAAACTAAGTCATGAGAAGCTTCAGTTTTGACATGTCAGGAGGGCTGGACCTCAGGTGCATTAACAGGAGGGAGGAACAAACAGCAGCCCTCTTTTTGTCTCTCTCTCTCTCTCTCGTGCGGACGGCAATTTTATGAATAATTAAAACATATAGTTTTAAAATATAGGCTACTTGGGCAGCTATACATGTACCTGGGCAGCCCGAGTATTGTCTGTGTGGGAAATACTGACGCGAGTGCAGCGTAAGTGCAGTTTGTGAAGGAAAAAGGAGCAAGAGAATCGGCATCACGCAGACATGACATTGCAACTATGTGAGAATCGAGACTGGGATTCTTTCTGACCTGAGGGATCTTTTTTTGTTTTGTTGTGCTTCAGTTTGCACATGTCTTGGCTCCAAAAGAAGTCACCAGCACAAAATGTTGGCCGGTATTTTGTCTTCGCTTTTTATACAACAGACCAAAACTCATTGTCCATATTAATATATGCAGTTAGTGGTTTTATGACATTAAAAGGCTGTTTTAATATATGAGCATTAGAATGGAGCAATGAGCAGGGAGGGAATGATTGCATTGAACTTCAGGATACTGTTGCCTTTTCTTTGCTTTTATATGATTTTGATCCTTTTTTGATGCCAAATTAATGTTGGTGTCTTCAAACTTTTGTGTTTTCCTACCAAAAGACAAAAACTTTGAAAATATATTTTATGACTTAAGATTTAAAAAAACAGAAAATCCTCACCAGTGAGATGATGGATCTGCATGATGAGTGCATTGTTTTGCTTTAAAATAAGTTGAATGAGAGATTGTTTGTTAAATAGAATAATTTCTGCCTCAGTTTATCTCTCACTAGGTTTACTCTGCACTGCTTTCTTTAAAACTGATGTACTTGTGTGTCTTTATTAACATGCAGGCTGGAGAGGAATCCATATCTGGATGGATCTGAGGGTAATTAGAAGTTGAAACCATGGAAATGACTCAACAATATGAATAACACTGAATTATTCATTCAGACCCTGGACTCAAGTTTTTTCTAGCTTTTATCATATACGTACATGTTGTATTATTGTTTATAATTCATGTTGACTCCCTTCTCTATCTGCCAAGTTGTATGGCAGATAACATGTTGATGTTCCAACAACATACAACATGTTTTTATTCTGAGGACAAAGATAAATCATAATATATGATACCATTCTGTACAATTACGGGGCCTGCAGTCAATATGAAACAGTATCATTGGCCCATTTAATTCACTGTGTTACGCTTCTATCGACTCACACAGAAAACCCATTCAAAATTTGACAAGGAAAATATATATCAGTTGTAAAGCCATATCTCAAAGATCACTGGATCTGGATCGCTTCTGGATTTGAATTTCTGATCTCTAAACTGATACATAGACACACATGACACTGGATACTTACACAGCTAGCAGCTGTATGGCTGTTGAATACCATTTAGGTAAAGAAAGCCATTATTGAAATCCAACAATCATTGTCTCAAACTGAATATATAAACTGCATGTTTCTGAATTGATTCAGCTTTTGGTCACATTTATGCTTCTTTGTAGGTTGTGTATTGTTTTTGGTCGGGAAAAGATGTAAAGCACTCCCAACATGTGTAATGGAGTGAATATTTCACTTGTGGTTTTATTTAGGGATTTAGAATACTCAGTGGTGTTTTAGTTTTGATGTTAATCGTTTGAAGATTGAGGACATGAGATTAGATTATTTGTCTTTGAGTGGTGTTTAATGAGAGATGATCATGAGTGATGTTTTGGTGACTGGTATTATCTTATATTATATTACTTTGTATCTGCAGCATTTATTATCACAATACAATTTTAACCTGTTTTAAAATGAGTCTTATTTTGGGCATGTTTTATAATGTGCTCTTCTTTTGAGTTTATGATTCTTACTTTAAAAACTGGAACTTGTGAAAACCTTTATTTGCATCTAAAAACTTGAAATTCGAATTAAAAAATACATTTTTAAACGTATCCATCAACTACCTTTCTTCAATGGATGATGAATGTGTTTAAATGTATGACACACTTTAAGTGAAGCTATAATTGTTTGACGATTGGTTCTTACATAATGCATCGATGAGAACCTTTCAAGTGTATTCCTGTTGTGATGGGTTCATATCTGATAAAATCTGCATGTATTCAAAATAAACATCAGAGAAAATCCTGAGTTCAACATTGTGTAATCTATCAAACCATATGCATCTATATATATATATGTATATATATACACTGTATATATCACCTGTGGTACAAATCTAATTGCAGTTCAAAGTCCTTTACAAAGGAGCGGAAAAATGACTGACAAAAGGTAGTTTGTAAAATATAACAGCAATAAGAAATGAAATCAGCACGATGATTAATAAATATAAATACTAAAAACCTAAAATCAAACACTAAAATGTAAATTTAAAAGTAGAGATGAATAATATTGATTAAAATATAGTAAATAAAAAGCCTTAAAATGATTAAGTCATATAGAAAAGCCAGACTGAATAAATGAGTTTTTTAAATTGTTTTTAAAAATCTCAATATTCTCTGATACTCTGAAGTCTGTTCCAAAGTCTCAGAGCAGCAAAACGCAGAATCACAAAAGGTTTTTGTTCTGAAAAGTTAATCTGGTGGGAGGCCAAGTGCTTTAGACAATAATAAAATCAATATGAAGACAAAGAGGCAGCCAGTGTCAAGACTTTCAAAGATAGATAAAATAGTTTAATGGGAGTTGTGTGTGTAATTGGCAAAGTCATTAACATTCATTCATTCAATCAAATTCATTTAATCTGTTCTTTAGATGTATGTTTACTGCCCTCACATGCTTCACAGGTTGAGTTAATGTCGACATTGCCTATTTAAACACATCATGTTAAGTTTATTTGTCGGACACAGTAATCATCAACTTACATCATTTGCTCATTTGCATCAACAGAAACAGTGTGTGGAGTTTGGATCACATGCTTTCTATCTGATTTAAGCAGAGTTCAGTTGAGAAAAAAAATAGGGTAATTAATGAATAAAAAACAAATAAAATGAAAAAAATGTAGCATCATTTATGGAGGTTCACATTGGTAACTCCTCATGCACAGAAAAAAATAGATGGCTAAATCTAGATCCAATGTGTTACACTGACCTGCTAAAGAGAACAACGGAAACCTTGATGTGAGTGGAAAATGGACTTTTCACCTTACTTCATTCTTATTTTGTTGATATATTATGCATTATTTCCAATACAACACATGTATTAATGATAGTTTAAAAAACAATTTTAAAAACTTACTTGAAATTATTTTGATTGGATTGACAATATTTATCAAGATCTGTAATATTTCCTATTTGTCATCAGCTAAAATCATTCACAACATCTACAAAGAGGATCAACTTTTGAAACAGCATCAGATCCTGTGTACAAACATGTGAACTCAGAGTTTGCGTTCCTTTGTCCTTACGTTAGGTTCATTTGCTTTATGTTGATTTGTGGGGTTTTTTACGACTGATTTGTGATTTTGTGAATATGGCAAAATAAGTAGCATAAAAAAGTACCAGATATTACAGTTTTAGTACATCATTGACTTTTTACAAAACAATAGTTATACTAACATGAGCTGACATTTCTGCCTAAAAAATTAGTCAGACAACTGCAGCTGATCCAGAAAGCTGCTGCTAGAGTCCTCACCAAAACCAAGATTACCAGAAAAACCAAGAAAATACATTAGTGACCTCCTGATTAATTATGAACCATCCAGACCGCTCAGGTCGTCTAGGACAGGTCTGCTCTCTGTCCCCAGAGTCAGAACCAAACATGGAGAAGCAGCATTCAGTTTCTATGCTCCTTATATCGGGAACAAATTCCCAGAAAACTGCAGGTCTGCTGAAAGTCTCACCTCTTTTAAATCCAGGTTGAAGACACACCTGTTTACAGCTGCCTTTCATTAAACAATTTTAATAAGATTCTAAACTTTTTGTATTTTTACTTTATTTATTTGAATAAATTTTATTTGAATTATTTTGATTTGAACATATGTTCAGATTTAATAATTCCAGTGATTATATATTTTTTAATGTTATATTTTAATGTTTCTTTTCTTTCCTCTGTCATGATGCTTTTGATGTCTTGTGTGAAGCACTTTGAATTGCCTTGTTGTTGAAATGTGCTATATAAATAAACTTGTCTTGCCTTACATTTGTCATTTAAGTTTGATCTGTGTTGCTGCACGGAGAATCAGTTTGACTTTGACATCCTTCTTTCAGTTTAAAAGAAAACTTAAGACCTGGAAGAAATAACATGATAAAAATGGATATTTATAAGCCCTATAAAGATACCTGACCTGGGAATAAAGTCATATCGTCCTGATGAAATTAAGAAAACCAACTCTTTATGGAAGTAAGATAACAAAGTGAGATATGTTAACATAGATATTATCTTCAAACAACTTTCTATGTCTGCAACCAGAAGTAATCTCACAAGAAAAATTAGGCGATGACTCCTGGCATTGATAGACACACATCTGTAATGTGCTCATTCTGGATGTTACTGGAGGTCAATATATACATATTATAGTCTCATCTTTTCAGGGCACACTTTACCATAGAGAGTTCAGCAACATCGCCATCTTGTGGCCATTTGATATATTTGCAGTTCTCAAATAGAGTACCGGTACACCATAAATCTGTCTAAAGAGCAGGTGCAACATTCACGCTACCTCTGAATTTTTCTTCAGAAGTAACTTCTAATACTGATTTATTTCTAACATCCTGTCATTTCTTCACTTCTTTATACGTTTAGATTTGTTAATTTGACTTAAGAATATCTGATGCACTTTCAGTTTTATTTTCTGAAATGTTTAGTATATCAATAAAAGAGGATCATGAGGGTAAAGACCAATAACATGGGTGTGGTGGAGATATAAATGTCAGATGTTTTAAAACCCTGAGCGTCATAAAAAAAAAGCCTTAAGCAGCTATGGCTATATAAATGACATTTACCACTTGTCAGATCAGCATCAGAAACATTAGCTTGATGTAAATGCAACGTCTTACGGCTTCAAAACATTAAAAACTATATAGATAGATTTTTTAAAGTTACAGGGAGCTGAGGAAACGTGTTAGTACAAAAAGAAGGACTTGGACGATTGGAGGAAATTTGGAGGTTGGTTTTCTAGTTATAGTCGATTAAATTCATGGTTGGCTTTTGGTAAGTTGTATCGTTATTTTAAACTGATGGTTTAATTTACAATTTTGCCTTTTAGCTTGTGTAAAACTGAGGTTAGCCTACTTAATAAATGACTGACTTCTTCTCTTTATCTAGTCGGGCAAAATGGCAAGTCCGAGCAAAAAGGCAAAAAAGTGAGTACCTCTGTCTTTGTTAAACAGTTTACAATATCCCAATATATAGAGCAATAATTTTAAGTTGGAAGTTTCAGCACGAGTTCATTCTGTGAATGCTTTTTTTTTTATTCTACAGACGATCATCACCAAGGTAAACATATCACACACCTTACCACACATCACACTTTTTTATGCGGCTGGAGAGATAAGAGAGAATAAACAGAACAAACAATGACGACTTGTAGAATAAACCGCACACAAACACACCTCCACAAAGTTAAGCCTGTGTACATATTATCCATTATCAGTCTAAATTAAAAATCTAATTAACTGGAAGGGCTTTGTTCTCTAGATGCTTATTATCCCCACCAGTGGTGAGGACAGCTAGCTTTGTGCACCTTTACTATCCAAACCAACCCTCTTTGTTCTCCTTTCCTTTAATCCTAAAAAAAAGGAAGAGGAACACAGACTGTAGGCTATTGAAATAGGACATTTTCAGTGTCCAATGATTTGTTCTCTTTGTTCTACTAGATGCTTAATCTCTCCACCAGTGGTAAAGCCATTGAAGCCATTATTTTTGCAGCATCAGCTTTATTCTAGGGCTCATTTGGCCTCATGCTCATGCTATGGCTACTTCTCATGTCTCCTAAATTGCATCCACGTTTCCTTCTCTTGCTTCCCTCACTTGCATGGAGAGACGCGAGGAAACGAAGCAGAGGAGAGAGGAACTAGGAAATATGTTTTAAGAGACGTCCTTCCCTAGAGCGTCACGTGAAGCAACATCCGTTTGTGATAAAGACATCAGCTGATCCCGGGTCGGCTTTAACAGCTGTTTATGTCCGCACAGATAACAGTAACAGTGTTATCTGAGTAGCCTCCTTTACCTGATATACACCTGCACATGAAGAACAACCTGCAGCCTGCTTCTAAAACACGTAGGCATACAGACAATTTCTACAGGCAAAAGTCTTTATTATTAAATTATTTATGAATTATTTGATTTAAATCATAATCTAAACTAAACTCTGTATTTTATAAACACTAAGGGTGTCTCAGGATTATTGAGAATTTTTACAAGGATCAAAATGTAAGAAAAACAGGATGCATAACCTTTTCAAAACCTACGATCATTAGCCTCATGAAAATGATGAATGCAAAACGTGTTGGTGACTGACAGACAGTCATTCTCATCATGATCAATTTAAAAAGGGCAAACAGTGTGAGTGACCCTGAAAAGAAATATGAGCTGTTCTAATCTAATGGAGACATTTATGATCCTTTCGGTTTTAACTCTTAAAATTAACAGATTTTTTGTTTGATGGTGAATCACAAAACAAATCAAATAGGCTAAAAGTCGGGTTTGACACTCTTATATTAATTTTACGGGACTTATAGCCTACTTAATATTTCGTTGTTTATTTCATGTCAAACACTTTTTTTGTCCCCAGTTTATCACAGACGGACTCTTTACAAACTGACAGATGTTTACAGTTTGTTTCAATGTCCGATGTGTCCGTTTAGACTCTTTTTAATGTCATCTTTTCTCCGCTGTGAAACTCCGCTGATGTTGATAAGTTTCACTGAAGTCCGATCCGCTGCAGCATCCAATCACTGAGTGATATACGAGACGGAGGCGGGTCTGTCAGTTAAAAGACTTCCTGGAAAGATGCTCTTGTGTTTCCTCGATCATAGCTCCTCATAGTTATTATTTTTCTCAACATGTTTAACTCAGTTCATCATTAAGTCCTTTTGGAGCCGATGTTTGCAAAGTGTGAATCCAGTACGCCTCACGCTGATAAGAAGTTTATCATTTGATGAATGGTAGCTCGGACCGTGTTTTTATTTATTTATTTATTATCTTTACAGGGGCAGCGCACAATTAAATGTAATTGCATCATTAGCTAATAGCTAAATTGCATCTGTTGTACCAGTGCATGTGCATTAAGTGATCCTTATTTCCCCCCCTCTTTAATTAACAAACAGGGAAAGGTGTTTGAAAATGGTGGAGAGCTCACTATCTGACTTAAAGATGTGCCAATGTTTTTTATAAACAGTTTGGATTGTGCTCGAGTGGTTAGAGTGTTGCATGGTGCACCTCACAGAGAACTTCTTTCCCTTTTTGACGCGTTTTTTCACTAAATCCGAGTTGTTTTTTTGAGGGCTAATTCATATGCATCTTTTATCTACAAAGATGGGTATCTCCTCTGAGAGAACCAGTTTTTCAAAAAACTGGTGTCCGTGTTCTTCCGGTACAGTGTAGTGAGAAAAGAGCCAATGAGCTTCATTCACTAATATATGCGTAGAAGTGTTCTTACTCTGCCCATAAAATAAGTGCAGACGCAAAATCACCGTCGGATTCATGACATATATATATGTAATATACATGACTGTATATTACTGTCTTTCATTTGTACTTTCCTTTATGTACTGTATGTTATTTAGTTATTTAATCTGTCTTTTACTTGATTTACATTGCGATATTGTTTTTTGTTTACCTGACTGTATATGCGCATTACTCCTCTTGAATAAAGCTAAACAAAAAAAACAAAAACGGGTGGATGCGGACGGTTCGGGTAACATATACTGAATGAATCAGACAAAGTGCTCCTACTGAATAGTAGGTACTAAACAGTATACAGCACGGATAGTAGGTACTGTCTACTGCCTACTGAAAGATTGAGTAGGTACTTGGCAATTCGGATGCACCCAAGGACATTCCATTGGTGTATCAGGACAAGAGCGGTGAGGAGGAGACATGTACAAGTTGCAAGAGATGGCCCCGAAATTCAAAAAATAGCTGTGTGTTTGGGGGCTTAGATGCCGTTACAGGGAATTACATAGTTGCAGCAATTAATCAGCTGATAAGTCCATTCGATCTGCAGAGTCCCTCTGCAACTTTCAGAAAAAGCTAAAGACCCAGCTCTTTCATGAATACCTATAACTTAATGATGATGGTCTTGATATTATTGATGATGGTAATGACGATGGTTTTTGTTTGATAACGACGACTTATAAGATGGTTTCTATACTGATTAGAGCTCTCAAGAACTGCCCTCAATGTTGTGCTTTGCCTCTGGTCACTTACTGTCAGCACCTGTGTGTCCAATCGGACTCAAAGCGGATCGTTTGCTCTTACTGACATTGTTCCCTTTTTTCTAGATCCTTGCTTGTGTTGTACTTACTCTCTGATGTACGTCGCTTTGGAGAAAAGCATCTGCTAAGTGAATTGTAGAATTGTAGAATAAATCATTCTTCACACTCTTCAAACATGTTTTGACGGTCTGATGCGTTCTCTTCTGAAGGCACGGGCTGCTATTTCTTTCAGCAAGGCTACATCTTTCCACATTCTTAGACCTAAATCACAATAATGTATGTTCCATGCATGCCCTCAAATAGGCTCCAATTAATCACCTGGTTTTGGTAACAGATGCAATATTTCATGACACTATTGGTGGGAGTGGTTGACGATTAGATTTAAGATTTTAGATTAAAGAAGTCTAATAAGGATGAAAAGGCATACATTTCATGGTTATTTAATACATTTAGTCAATGCATTAGTAAATTATCATTTTTAATTATTGTCTATTCAACATTTTATATAGGCTATATATAATATGTCATGTATTTAGTTAAGAGTGTATGTTAGCATTTTCTGACAAAGCTGGTAAATCATTTGTGAATATACATGGTCTAAAGAAGCTATTTTTTTGTTCACAGAGTAAGACCAAATTAAAGTAAAAACATAATTGATGAATCTCAGATTTGTGCAGCAAACGTTCTTACGAACGGATTAAGAACAGATTTGTGTGTACGCACTGTTTGTGAACGAGGCCCAATGTCTTTTATAACCCACATGTCTAAGAAACTTACTCTGTCATAGCTAAAGTTAGTTTTAAACTCCATAACATTTAGACAATGGAATCTCCTACACACCTGTCTTATGATGTGGATGTTTGAAGGTTTTTCTTTGATGTTGTGTTTTAGGCATTTCATTTAGCTTTTCGCTAGCTTTTGTTTGTTTGTTTTCTGCCAGGTGTTTAATGATCCCATCCATGGTAGCATAGAGTTACACCCACTCCTCATCAAGATCATTGACACACCTCAGTTCCAGAGACTTCGATTCATAAAGCAGCTTGGAGGTGTCTACTTTGTTTACCCTGGAGCGTCTCACAACCGCTTTGAACACTCGATCGGGTAAGTCAGCAAGTTTTCAAATTTCAGCCCACAGGTGACCTCAGTCCAAATAAGGAGAAGACTCATGGTGGTTTTCACATAAGCACCTTGTAAAACCAATAAAGGCAGAAAACAGTGCCTGTCTTAGTATGGTATGAAAAAGTATATATTTTCATTTTGGTAGCAGCATCCTATTGTGATAACTGCGTTATAATTTAAAAAAATGTTTTCTGTGGTCTAAAAAGGGTGGGATACTTAGCAGGAAAACTTGCTGAGGCTCTCAGGTCAAGGCAGCCGGAACTCAACATCACTGAAAGAGACGTCCTTTGTGTTCAGATTGCTGGCCTCTGTCATGACCTGGGTGAGTAATGCATCCCTTTTCAATATTACATATAATAGTTTATAAATTATGTTATTGGGTATGAAAAGAGTAAAATGAAAGTGAAATGATCCAGAAATAACCCTTCCATCTTTCAAAAAAGCAAGGGCTTCTGCATTAATAAATAAAAAATACAAGGGTGGGGTGAGGTGGTGGTAGCTCGGTCTGTAAAGGGACTCTGATAAGAACTGGAGGGTCTGAATCTTTAAAAATAATATTTAGACTCAGAAAACTTTAACCCAGAGGGCGTTTCGGTACCACAGTCCACCCAGATCATGCATACATTTACAAACACAACAGTCTTTCTTGGAAGCAATATTCTCAAGTTTAGATTCAGGAGTAATCCATCCTCAACTCAAACAGGTTTATTAAGACATACTGACTGTATAATCTGTAGACTATCAGTGGATTACGCCTGTATTTATCTATCCATTTCAAGGTCATGGACCCTTTTCCCATCTGTATGATGGACTGTTCCTCCCCAAAGCACTGGAAAAAAAGAGGAAATTAAAGAAATGGAAGGTAAGAAGTTTTTATTTCTGTTGTAATATAACAAATGAAATACAGAGGAACGGCAAAACTGAAGCACATGTACCTTTCACACTGGCTTGTTCTTTTGAAACAAAATCCAGGATGTTCTTTTTTGTTTGCCTTCTCAGGTAGAATGTGATTATGCACATTTCCAAGGATGTTGATCTATTTATTTAATAACAATGAACGGTGTAGTTTGTGTCGCTAAATGACCCTCATTATTCTCTTTGGTAATATTATGTCAACTTTTTATCTGACATGTTACCGCTTTTCAGAAGCTCTATGAGATTTTACTAAATGTTTATTTTTTAACCATTAATCCTGGTGATTCAGAGATTTAGATACAACAAACAAAGATAATAATTGAATTCATGGTTCATGAGAGGTAATTCTTTATGACAGGGACCTCTTTTAAAAGCAGAAGGGATTTCTAGATCTGTTTATGTCTCTTTGTCACTCAATAAGAGAAGATAACCTTTATTCATCCTACAACGGGCAGCAAAGAGCAAGGATAGCCAAAAAAGAGCACACAGTGCACAATTCAATAACTTTAGATCAAAAGAGTGCGATTGTTGTGTTTACATCCAAACAAACCGGGCTAAAGGGGAAACGCCCCTTTGTTTCAGAACAACTTTTCTAAACTATCCAGGTGTGAAAAAACGTTCGGTGAGAAAACTGAGCTGCATTATCACCTTCCCAAAAACTCTTATGCTTAACAGTTTGACATCGGGTTGAGTTCAGCTAGCTAAATAACCCTGATAAAGACTGTTAGGATGTTGTATACAGTATATTGGCTGACATTAAGTGGCTCATCAAATTCTGAAGCGCTTTAGGAACTCTGACATTGTAAGTTGTTTTACATACGTTTGAGATATACTCTTCAAATGTGGGGGAAATTAAAGTATGTGGGATTATTATATTTATGTATTAAATCTTGTGTTGACACATTTATGAGTCTGTGTGTCTCGCAGCATGAAAATGGCTCTTGTGACATGCTAGACCACCTGCTGAAAGAGAATAATCTTGAACCAGTGATGGAGAAGTATGGACTGAAACCTGAAGACGACATAACATTCATTAAGGAGATGATTGCTGGACCTCTACAGGAATCTAAAGAGCAGGAGGCAAGTTCACCTCATTATGTTATTCAGAAGTCGGATAAGATACTGTATGAATATAAGATAAGAGAAGATAAAACTTTATTCATCCTACAATGGGCAGCAAAGAGCAAAGATAGCCAAAAAAGAGCACACAGTGCACCATTCAATAAAAAATAGATCAAAAAAGTTGAGCAGCTAAAAGAGTGTGAATGCTGTGTTCACATATGTATGAACAAACCGGGCTATGGTTTCCGAACAACTTTTCCAAACTATCCAGGTGTGAAAAAATCCTTAGAGAGAAAACTGAGCTGCATGATCACCTTTCCAAAAACTCTTGTGCTTAACAGTTTGACTCTGGGTTGAGTTCAGCTAGCTAAATAACCCTGATAAAGACTGTTAGGATGTTGTATACAGTATATGTCCACAGAAGATTGGATGACATTAAGTCACTCATCGAATTCTGAGGAACTCTGACATTTAAAGTGTTTCTTTCATACACACGTTTTGAGATCTTCTCTGCAAATGTTGGTTGTGCTATTTGTGTAGTTCCTTGTCTTCTTGCAATATTTTTCATGATTTGATGAAAGCGAAGCATGGATTGAACCCTTAACATGCGAAAAACATTAAGGTGATGATTGCTGAAGACCAGAAGGCAAGTTCTCATCTGTGCATAAATCAGTCTGTGTCCTACAGCAATGTCACTAATGTCACTATTTTGTAACATCTCCTCAGTATAAAGGCGGACAAGAAGAGTGACAAAAAGTTTTTCTTCTGCCTAGAACTCAGATCTTAAAATTTAACCGTTGTTTTGTTTGTCATGCTTTTCCATGTACATAGTTTATTGTGTTCATATTTTAGCTTCATCTCTGTTTTGTGGAATGGTCCTACATATGTTTTCTATGCAGTGTAAATTTATTGACAACAACATACGTGTCAATAAAACTGGTCCTGATTCGCTTTGTGTCGTCATCCCTGCAGTGGGACTTCAAAGGGCGCCCAGAAGAAAAGTTCTTCCTCTACGAAATTGTGTCCAACAAAAGAAACGGCGTTGATGTGGACAAGTTTGACTACTTGGCCAGGTCAGGTTTTAATGAAGTGCTGTAAAATAATTCTTAACCCTGAACAATGCATTATTCTCCTGATTTATTTTAAAATGATACAGCACTCAACAGTAAATTCAGTTTCCCTCTATACACCTATTTTCTTCACATTGCCTTAATCTGTCTCTACGGTAATGGAAATATTTCCCCCGTGAGAATACGAACAAAGACGAAAACCCCAATCATCTTTGTGAGGTTTTATTCCTACAAGAAGTTGCAGGAAGAAGAAACTGTACAGAGTGTATCATGGTGACCACACTGCAGAGTAGCTCAAATGACATACAGAATGAAGTCTCCTTTTATACATGTCAAAGAGGAAACAACAATATTGACAAGCTCCTGTTGTAGGAGATAAGCAGTTTAACACAATCAACCTAAACAGAGGAAGAGCAAATGTCCATGTAGAGTCATCCTTGTAGAAATCAAAAGTTATCCAAACACATGATGCTTAATCTAAACCAGCATTTCATGAAATGTCACACAGTTCACATTAGAATTACTCTAACACATCTGCTAAATATATTTTTTCCCCATTACACTACTCAGGGACTCTTTATACCTGGGAATCAAGAACACCTTTGACTTTCATCGCTTCCTGCAGTTTGCCAGAGTGTGTGAGGTTGATGGAAGGAAAACTATCTGCACCAGAGACATAGTATGACAAACTTGAGCTTGTAAACAGATAATTGAAAGCAAACTGATAATGTTGTTATTTATGACTAAACTACAGTCCTAACCTCAACAGGAGGAGGACAATATGTACGACTTGTTCTACATAAGACACCGTCTCCACAAAAGAGCCTATCAGCACAGAGTAAACAAAGTAATTGAACATATGTAAGTGTCTACCTTCAGATCTTAGTACTCCAAATATAAGATTGGTCTCCTTCTGATTTCCATTATTTGATCTGCGTCATGATTCACTATCTCATCAGTAATAATATGTTTGATATGAACATACAGGATTGCAGAGGCTTTTTTGAAAGCAGACGGTCACATTGAGATTGAAGGATCAGGAGGGAGGATGTTCACTCTCTCTACAGCAAATGAGGACATGGAGGCCTACACAAAGCTCACAGGTGTGTAGATTTAAATGTGTGCTGTTAGCTCATGTTTAACATTGAAGCCAATTCAGACTACAGGAGTATCAAGACATTGTTTTAAATAATGCACTACACCCAACAATCTGAAAAGGAAATTGATGTAGGCACTTGGTCAGTTTTGGTGTTTGGTGTAAGACTACTGTTATGCTACTTTATCAATTTTTTTAATTATGCACATGTAAATGAACCAGATCATGTTAAATAAGTTGTAATGACTTATAAATTAACATGCCATGTCTTACAATTTATTGAGTGTGTTTGAATTAAATTCACTAATTTTTTTGTGTGTATAATTAATAATCGTTTGCTTGTTACTCTGTTACTCTTTTAGACAACGTGTTTGAGGAAATACTGAAGTCTTCCCGTCCTGAGTTACAAGAGGCAAGAGAGATTCTGCAAAACATTGTCTCTCGAAAGATCTACAAGTTTGTTGGTGAGACAAAGCCAAAGAAGACCATCAAGGATTGGAAAGTAAGTCTGTGTGTTCTTGTGTTTCATTACATTTATTACACATGATCTCATGCACCGTTATCATACAATTATAATATCGTTGTCATACAAATCTAAAACCCTCACTGAACTAATGCTGCATGATATTGGGGAAACTGCGTTTTCTTTTCATGTTCATACTATTACAATTTTTATTATTATTTGGGTCTTCACGTTTATTTTCTTTTACAAATAAGAACCCCTTATACATTCAAAGCTACATTTAATTTGCATCAAGAGCCCTGTGACATTAACTTCTAAGCAAAGAACAGTTCATCTTCATACACTGCATGTGATCCCTTCTCTCTCTCTCCCTCTACACTTTATGTGCTCATGGACTAACACACGTCCTGGGATATTACCATGGCACTTGTACAATAGCAAAATTAATGCTTAGATCATACCATGCAGCCCTA